AACATGAATTAGACCCAACTCCGGGAAGCCGTAGAAGACAGGAGGGCCTGGCGTGCTCTGGTCCATGGGGTCACGAAGAGTCGGACACGACTTAACGACTAAACAACAACAACATCTCTTGGTTCAACTCATGCAAATGGGCCAGTGCCCCGCCACGCCACTCCTGGTGGTCTCCTTGCTAGAGAGGAGAAAGAAGGTCACACAGTCCATCTTTCCTCCTATGTATTGGGGGGCTGTTTTTTCCGTGACTGTGGGTTCATACCTCTTTCCGCACCCATCCTGCCTGCTCTTTCAGGCCCCATCCCGTTGGGCTGTGCCTTCCAGCCTGTCCGCTACTGAGCCGTAACTTGCCATTTTGGTCCCAGGGACTTCGCTGGGAAGTGGTATAACACTCCTAGTTCCTTTTATAGCGAGAGGGTGAGCGTGGCCCCACAATTTAGCTGTGTTTTATATCTATAGCCTATTTTTTTGGTACAGTAACTAAAATGTAACTGTGCTAGTTACTTTTGAATCATGGGAAAGTTTAATGTTACTTTTAATGTAACAGTGACGAAGTTCCTTTAGTTACTTGTGTAACTGTAACTAATTACTTTTTCAAGATACGTTTTCAAGCACGGGTGCTATCCTTCTGCATCCCCTCTTTGGAGATCTGGCCATTCTATGGAAGCTTTTGCGCCTGACCCACCTTCTAAGCTTTCCATATGACTTTTTATTTTGGTCCTGTAATGTAACCGTCTGCCGGTGGATTCATCCTTCTCCTCACAGGCTCTTCGCCTGAGATAGCCTTTCTTTTTCACACGCTAACAAGCTTAACACAGGGCCAGGATTACAAAGGGATTTTGTCTTCCTTTCCACAGAGATCCACTAGCATGACTCACCGAGAAATCAAAATTGCAGAACTGTCATGCCGAGCTCAACAAAGCGAGGGAGGAAGAGGAGGGTGAGCTAGATGACACATTGGGAAGATCGGAGAGGAAGCGAAGATTTATTTCTGTCTTGTCCTAGATGTGGGAGCGTGAGGTGAGCTGGAACCTGTTTAATTTCGAAAAACCCCCCCAAGTAAAATGTTAAGATAGTAGCATAATAGATGGGGAGGATTTTTAAGAAATTATTAAAATTAGTCATATTTAAAGCTGCCTTTTGTTAGTGCTTTTGCTACCTGAAATGTTCAAACCTGATTTACTTTATTTAATTCCCTTTAAAGATAAGTTTTAGCTAGCAACGGGGTTTTATCTGTTTTGCGGTATTTGCTTGATTCGATATACTGTGCGTGATTTAATGTGTCGTAAACCGCCCAGAAAGTGCACAGGTTATAGGCAAGAACAGAAGTTGGAACAATAAATAAAATAAATAAATATTAGGCCCCACATGAAAAACCCAGTAGAGGGAGGTTTTGCTTCTTTCCAGAAATGTAAATAGTTCTATAATATAATTTTTTTTGGTTTTTAGAACATTTGATCAGAAATGTTCTGGCTCTTTGGGTTGAGGTAAACACGGTTCTGTCTTGTGCCCAATTGTTTTTCAGACTGACCTTTCAAAAAAAAGGTATAGGAATGCAATAGTATGTTAATGCACGCATACACATGCGCACACATTCATAGAGGTGCAGCCTGGGAGTGAAGGAGAAAGTCAGTGAAATGTGTGCACCAGCTAACCGCAGATTGTTAGCCGATCCAGGATTGCAAGTGAACAAAGGAAAAGCCCAGTGTCAACATCGCACTCTTTCTCTTACCTGGGCAAAAGCTATGGGTGGCTGGAGCCATCACGACTTCCCCAATGTAGCTTCCCTGGACTGTTCCCCTGGTACCATACACAACAGATCACTTGCTTCTCCCAAAAAGCATGTCGGGTGGTGGGTTGGGTCGAGGAATCGTGTCACTTCCTGACCAGAACTTTGAAATCTTCCTTTTTGGACTACAGCACCCCAAATCCCCCATCTGTCAGGCTGCTGCTGGTGGACCCTGTGTATTGTAGTTCAAAACGTAACCTTTCCAGACTCGGTTTATAATGTTTTTTTTAATTTTAATTTATTTGGGTGTGTGGGGGGGGGAATTCTGGGGTGTGGTAGTCCAAAATGTAACATTTCTGTGTTGTGTTCATAATGTGTGTGTTTTTTTATTATTATTTAGGTGGGGGAGGGATTCTGGATATGGTAGTCCAAAGCATAACATTTCTGTTCTGTTTGTAACTCTTTTTTTTTTAAAAGTTTATTTAGGGGCTTTAAATGCTATCAGGTGGCCCAAATCCCCTCTAAATGGTCAACCTCGTCCCAAACTGGGAATGAGATTGGCCATTTATATATATATATTTTTCCCCAGGGGAGAATGATCTTTTCCGGAAGCCAGGGGGTGCAGTTGAAGCCCACCAAGAGTCCTAGAAAAATGGAAATGGCTCCCAGGTTATACCTCTCGATGGGCGTGTTATAGATGAATTCTTAAAAGTAGGGTTTCAAGGTCTCCGGACCCTGACTGCCATTTCTGGGGAGTGCTGTGCTTCTTTAGTTCTGCAGACCGATCTCAGAAGGAGCAATGCTGGAGGATTGCGGGATACAACCCCCCCCCCCCAAAAAAAGAAAGGTATAAGGAGAAGGGTTCTGTAAAGAGACACTGGGTGCATGTCCGTCAGCCGATTGTGTCATCTGAAACAAAGCAGGGAATGGACCTCCAGCATCATGACTTGTGAGACTTCTTTTTTTTTGTCCAGCTTTGGAGGAGGAACTTCCCCATTGGCTTGAGTTGAACCACAAATCCTAGCAGCGGTATAAGCCATGGAAGAACTCCTCACATAATAAGACATGCCGTAGGTAGTACTGCACAGAATGTGAGCCCTAGCAGATACGCTGGCAACCACCGCAATGGGCACCTTTTGTTGCAGAGTTTTGAATTCCTGTTAAAACTCTCTTTTTGCTACACAGTAAGAGTACATAGATTCATAGTGGAAAAAATAGCTCCACATTCTCCTCATTAACTGGCACTTAAAGTCTCAATAACTCACTCAGACACGTGTAGAAGAAAGAATTAAAAGCGTTTATTTACTTACAATTGCTTGAAATTACACACCTGTGCATACTCCTTCCTTTGCTGCACCCATACCAGCAACCAACTGAACAGATCAACAGCAACAAAACAACTGCCA